GCCAGCCCAATACACCAAGGCTGGTGTGTTGGAGCCTAGCCCTGCTTAATAACAACAACTGCAACCAAAAAAATAGCTGGGCATTGTGGTGAGCTATAGCTATAGTCCTATAGTCCCAGCTATTTGGGAGACTGAGGCAAGAGAATCACTTAAGCCCAAGAGTTTGAGGTTGCTGTGAGCTGTGACACCATGAAACTCTACTGAGGGTGACATAGTGAGACTCTGTCTCCAAAAAAAAAAAAAGAAGAAGAAAGAAATCAAGGTATTTATTACTGAAAGGGTAGGTCTCTCTGCTTCTCCCTGGATTGGAAAAGGTGGTCTGGACCTGAGGCCAAAATGGGGTTTCCTAAGCCCTTCTCCAAACTGCAGAACATTTTTTACCTAATCCACAAATGTGCAAGCTGGGAAACCGGAATAGAGAGAATACAGCCACACCTCAAGGAACTGGAGCAGGCAAACCTGTTCCTCTTGGGTCTCCTTATGCCGCAGGGACTGGATGTGCAAGGCAGACTCTACATGCTAGCCAGTGACTAGTGAGAACAGGTGGTGTGGCCCAATGGAGAAAAATGGTCTGGCATGGCAGGATTTTATTGCCCCTCCTTGGCTATGGGAGAGGCACATCCAGAAAGGGCATCACATTCTGTCCTTTCCCCTGTCTGACCCAGGTCATGTTGTAACACTGCTTTAATACAGTGTCCTTTTAAGTTTAGTCATAACAATTGTCCAAACAACATATCACCTTAAAAACTTTTGAAAAGATGCCACCTTGGAGAATGTGGTGGAGTTTAGTAACCATTTTTTGCTCTTCCATTAATTATCCTGGGTCCAATTGAAAACTCAATAATTTCTTCCCCAGAATTCGGCTTTCAAGATGTCAACATTTAGGATTTTAATCTTTTACGATTTTTAGAATTTTAGATGTTAGGGATTTTAGACTTTAAGGATTTCTTGTCTTTAAGGATTTTGACTTTTCAGGGTTGTGACATTTGGGGTTATGGTGTTTAGCATTGTGTCTTTCAGGACTGTGATTGGCACTGGCAAATATCTAGAGGCCCAAAGTAAAAAAGGAATGAGCCACTACACAAAAACAGATGAATTTTAAAAACATTATGCTGAGCAAAATAAGCCAGACATAACAATATGTATGATTCCATTCATATGAAACTCAAGTAAAGGGGTCAAGTGGTGAATGCTTGCAAAGAGGAAGGAGGGAAATTTGGGGCGGTCGATGGAAATGTTCTAGATTTTTGTTATGATGGTGCTTGCAAAGGGTCAAAATTCATCAAATGATACATTTTAAAGGGTTCTGCCAAATGTATGTAATTATACCTCAAAAAAGTTGATAAACCCAGAAAGACTTCAGGAAAGAGTACAGGTTCAATGAAGGGTCAAGTAGGAGAGATCCATAGACTAGTCACACTTTGAGCTTTGAATGTGAAAAATAAAATTTTGTTCTATATGTGAAGAGACTCAAACTGGAGAGTACTGGGATATGTTGCCAAAATCATCTGATAATAGCTCTTATTCTGGGCAGCTCCTGTGGCTCAGTGGGTAGGTTGCCAGCCCCATAAACCGAGAGTGGCGGGTTTGAACCTGGGCCCGCCAAACTGCAATGTTGTGGTGGACGCCTGTAGTCCCGGCTACCTAGGAGGCTGAGGCAAGAGTAAACCCAGGCGTTGGAGGTTGCTGTGAGCTGTGATGCCACAGCACTCTACCAAGGGCAACAAAGTGAGACTCTGTCTTTAAAAAAAAAAAAAAGAGCTCTTATTCTTTGAAGTGGTACAGATAAGGGAAATGAAGTTTTTTTCTTACTATTTAATTTATTTTGTTTTTGTTTGTTTATTTGTTTTAGAGACAGGGTCTTACTCTGTTGCGCAGGCTGTTCTTAAACTCCTGACCCTGAAGCATTTCCTTACCTCTTACTTTTTAACTGCCACCTCTTATCCTCTGGTTCAGTCTATTAATTATACAAATTCAAAGAAACAATTCCCACGGAGTCTGTGTACCCGTGGAGAGAGAAAGAGACATTTTTAGGGTTTAAGCATTACTTCTTTGGACCTATGTGCACCCTTATTAATCATCGGAGGTAAAAAACAAAACTAAATAAAAAAACCACCATTCTTTCCCCTTTTGCCTTCACATTTTCTCACAAACGATAGGCATGCTTGTGGATTATCACATCTCATCAATTTCATTTACTACTTCTCTGCTGACAAATTGTGTTTTTTAGCAACTCATAGAGAATTTTCTGTCAATTTTATCCTATCCAAAGAGAACCTCTAAAGAGATTCACTGTGGTTATGATTAACCAGTGTAACAAGGACAGGCTTTAAAAAGCACAGCACCAATTTGGTAGGTTTTCTTTGCTCAAGATATTTGTGTGAATCAAGAAATACAATCACTTTGGTTTTAAAATTAAAATTCACTTTAGTAGAGTAAAAATCCCACTTTTCATTACGTTTTAAGGCCATTAAAGCTCTATTTATTCTATCTATAAAATCTACCTAAGGTAACACTCATCTATTTTTTCCTTGATTAACATTTGCTTAATTCAAATTGAACTGACTAAACGTCCTTTAACAATTAAACTCATATGCAATTTAGTGAACAACTTTTTATATACTTTAAAGTGTATTTATAATTTTAATATATTTTGTTTCCCTTTAGGAACTTCAAATGCATATTTATAACCCTAAAAGCAAAATGTGTTCTCAAGTTCTTAACTTTTGTAAAGCAAATAAATTAAATTTGGGGGAATTTCAAGTTCTCTTAAATTTTCCAGTTATACTTTTTAACTTAGATTATCTCAAACTTTTAAACTTAATGATCACAAGCCTAAAATCAGTTTATTCAATTAAAATTGAAAATCCAAGGGAAATCTCTCAGATTCTCGAATTTACCAAAATCTCTTTACTGTTGCATACTCAACCAATACACAAGATTATCCCATAACTTAAAATCTATTCATATCATTAAAGTTTCTTTTTTTGAGACAGAGTCTCACTTTGTCACCCTCAGTAGAGTACTGTGGCATCACAACTCACAGCAACCTCAAACTCTTAGGCTTAAGTGATTCTCTTCCCTCAGCCTCCTCAGTAGCTGGGACTACAGGCACCCACCACAGCGCATGGCTATTTTTTGGTTGCAATTCTCATTGTTGTTTAACTGGCCTGGGCCAAGCTTGAAGCTGCCAGCCTCGGTGTATGTGGCTGGTGCCCTATTCACCAAGCCCAGTATTCATTAAAGTTTCAATACTATAGGATTGATATACTTCAGTCTTTCTATTTAAATTCTGAACTTTTCTGGGGTTTATTTACCCACCAGATTTTGGGGGCTGAGACTTAGGATCTAAGATAACACATTTTTTAGTGATTTTTATCAATGCCAAAAATGGGTTATCTGAGTCCTTCTCAGAGTCATTGATGTAAAGGAGTTTAAAGTCCATGCCTTTTAAATGTGGTTGATTTTTCCCTGGTTAAAGATAAAAATTCAATTTTTATTATCTGATTTCTGTAGACTAAGTTCCTCCAACATTCCTTATCCACTTCAGTAATCTCTTTGTGCATCACTGAATCTTGTGCTCTCTTCATATTCTTCCTGGTTTCTGTAAATCTTCCTCTGGCTCTGCTATAACACACCAAAATTATGCAAAGGACACCTGAATAATGAGTTGAACATACAGTTATGCATGCTTCCATATGTAACATGTAAATTTCCATTTAATTATATATACTTAATGAATTATCAACAATTTTTCCAGTCACATAAGCTCATCCAAAACTAAATCACTACTCTATGTACCCAATTTATTGTGAAAAGATCACACATAATATCACTATAACTGACTTGGCGCCTGTGGCTCAAGTGGCTAAGGTACCAGCCACATACACCTAAGGTGGCGGGTTCGAATCCAGCCCGGGCCCACCAAACAACAATGATGACTGCAGCCAAAAAAAATAGCCAGGCATTGTGGCAGGCGCCTGTGGTCCCAGCTACTTGGGAGGCTGAGGCAGGAGACTCGCTTGAGCCCAGGAGTTGGAGGTTGCTATGAGCTGTGATGCCACAGCACTCTACCCAGGGGGACAGCTTGAGACTCTTGTCTCAAAAAAAAATATATATATATCACTATAACTACATATTTTAAAGTCTAATATCTTCACAAGGTACTCCTTTGAAACTTTCTTCTGCTAAATAGTAACTCAATATCACAAACGCTAAATTTTCTTCTTATGATCTTGCAGCATTCTGCTTGCCTTATATAGCCCTGGTACTGTACAGTAATTATATGCACATTCAGTTCTTCCACTGACTGTGCGCTCCTTGAGAACAGAGAAATGTTTTTTTCTTCCTCCATCGTTTATTGTGGTCAAAAACACAAAATGTAGGCAGGGTGAGGGGGCTCATTCCTATAATCCTAGCACACTCAAAGGCTGAGGTGGGTGGATTGCTTAAACTCACAGGTTCGAGACCAGCCTGAGCCAGAGCAAGACCCTCCCCCCATCTCTACTAAAAATAGAAAAACCTGAGGCAAGAGGATCTCTTGAGCTCAAGAGTTGGAGGTTGCTGTGAGCTATGATGACACCAGAGTACTCTATCCAGGGTGACAGCTTGAGACTCTGCTTCAAAAAAAAACAAAATACAGAACATAAATTTATCATTTTAAACATTTTTTTAAGTGTATAATTCAGTGACATTAAGTACATTCACAAGGGAACATGGTCTCTCTCTCTCTCTCTCTCTCT